TCTTTCCACTGGTTTATTCTTGTATTCCAGCCAAAGAATGCATATTAATTTTGATATTAGGCAAAGCAGAACATAAATAGAAAGGAAATGTGATGCCACAACAGGCTTTTTATAGCTAAATACATATGGGCTTCAAAAATGCCACAAGCCCAGTGTGCTAAAAGTGCCTAATACAATGAGGGACACACAGCTAGGTGTTCTCTTCCGCCCTCCATTTGACAGATGTGTGACTGCTCTTTTCACAGTGTGTGGAAATGTTGAGTTCAGTAACTCCCTGTGCTGCTCAACTAATCTGTAGTTTTTTCTCATTTGTTTGCTTTTTGGTCCTTCATAGTAATATTTCCTCACCAAATACTCTAGTGGCCTAAGTTGCATCAATTATTTTTGAGTCCTGGAAAAGCTACATTTTGAAATTGACCTGCTGGAGCCTTGAAGAGACCTGGTTTTGGTACTCTACAAAATCTTGTTGCCATTTATTGTCCAGCTTCTTTCTCTGCACTCCTGTTCAAATGTTAGTGGTGTTTCACTTTGTCTAAAAGCAGGAGATAGCCCACGGATGTAAATTTTTTGCTGACTGGTGGATGCTTTGAATTCTTTAGTTTTCTATACAGTAGAGCTTCATGTGTAAGTAGATCTAATAAAATACTTTGAAAAGCAGTGCAATTTTTTGCATAGACAAAAGATCATTTTGGAAAAAATTTGACATTTAAAAATTTTATTAGATGTCCACTGTGTGATCTGTTATTTACATGCTCAAATGAGGGTAATACAGAGACCATTTTTATTGGCATTTGGGCTTAGAGTTTTTCCATTGCTTAATATTCTATGATTCTGATGTTTAAGTCCTATGTGACAATTTACAGTCTGTTTGGCTATTCATAATCTAGCAAGTGCTTACAATATTCTTTGATGATCATTTACTGTTTTACATTTAGACAGAGATACTATTTCCTCATTGTTGCATACTTCTTTTTAATATGTCAATCTTTTTATCCCCTCATCTTAGAAAAGTATTGAAATATACTTTATTTAAAACAGGACTGTAATAGACAAAAGATAGTATCTATTGTTAGGATCAGCAAAGTATTATCAAAGATAATTGTGTGAATAAGACTCATTTTTGTTTATATGTTCATATACTCTAAGAGGAATCATTTTATCTTAAGTTGAATAGTTCTGGTTTTAGAAGATTTTTCTCGGGAACAGGCAATCAGTATTTTATAATGAGTAGAAATTATAAAGATAGCTTCATTTCTTTTTTGAATCTCTGTATCTCAAAATTCTGAAGAGTTTTAGATAGTCAGAAGATAAATTATAAGCCCTAGGTAGCAAATTCTTTGTTCTTTGACCCAAATTTTATATGCTAAAATTAAAGTAAGCCTTCAGGATAAGTTAAAGCAGAAAAATGGGTCATAATGACAGTGTTATCTTAACCTCTAGTGGGACATTATTACTAGGAGAGATTTTTTATATTAAAGATTACGTTGTAGATTATACTACCTGTTCCCTAAACATTTTTTAAAATGCAGTCAAAGATTCACACATAAGTTTCAGTCTCCATGAAACTACCCTTTTGCCATCACTTCTGTTTTTCTCATTTTTCCCTTTCTCTCCCCCTGACAATAGGATATACATCATATACTTCATTTAACTCGTATAGCTGGAAGTAGGAGCAATGAGGAAAAGGCAGTTTATTACACATGTGTTAAGACCTCCTAGTTTGATTTTAATGGCATAAAAGACCAGGGTTTTTTGCCATTGTTTCCCTCCAGCTCCTAATCCTTTTCCACAAATTTTGCTAGCTACTGGATAGAGAATCTACAGAGACATATTTGGTTAAGAGTCACATATATGCACATCCTTCATCCCACACATGAATCAGAAATTCTTATATGCTGATATGCTGGAAGAGAGTCGGAGTTACAAGTGATAGATACTTTTCAAAAGTTGTGACTCTAAATCCAAACCACCACCATTCCAGACTGTTAGAAAACTATTGCAGGCTCTAAACTAAATAGAGGTACTAGTGAGTGGTTTGAAGTTACTCTGTTCAGTTAAGAGCCTGCAATACCTATTTTTACAAATAACAGATTAAAACAGGACCTTTTTACCTGATCACCGTGTAAGTCATTGACATTAAAAGAAATGTATAAAACACAGGGGCATATTGGCAAAAATTTAAAAATTCACCTGTAATTCCACTGTTAGAATCCCACTGTTATTAATATACTATAATCCCACTCACTGTTATAGTTACTATATTAATGTGGTAAATCTACTTCCAGTGTGTATTTCTTACACATAAGCATGTGTTCTTGCACTCACACTTCATTTTAAAACAAAAATTAGTTCATTTTTACTATTTTTACTGTTTTACACTTTAATGTCTTTAATACTGTACTCTTTTACTATACCTAAGTTCAGTAGTTTTCTATCTCCTTTCAAAAGCCCTGGTACTGTTTAATTCCTCACAGGAACCCTATGTGTTAATTTGTTCAAGGTCACATACCTGTTAGAAGTAGAGCCAGGATTCAAATCCAGGGAGCTTGATTCCAGAGCCCATTCTCTAATACAAATGCATGTAATGAACATACCTATCATTCAGAAATACAGCTTGGGGAAAACATTGCAACAGTAAGTGACATGCTGGAAGAAGAAACCACATTCCAGGCCAAATAATGCATAATAGGGATGAGTTTGCCTATTTTTAGCAGAGATTGGGTATACATATTGGGTATACATATTGGGTATACATTAACACATAACATAAACTGTTCAATATGGAAAGATGTATTGGCTAATTTAGATCCTCGCTGGAGGTTTCTGGGACTTTGGTCTGTCACGAATTCAAGAACTCAAATATAGCAGGTATCCTTAGATGATTTTTAAGAAACTTTTAGAAAGTGTCACTATAGGTATATTCTCTTTTATATTCCTTTTGGTTGACTACAACTTTTTTTTTATAATTACTCTTCCATTTTGTCAACTACAACTTTTGAAGTATAAATTCTTGCTTTAGTTTCAAAATCATAACACTC